AGTAAACAATTACACAATACTGCAGTACTAGTATAAACTATTATGCAAAGATGAACAGTCACAATACTCAATACTCAATAGGCGCGATAATAATCACTTGTATAGTTAATATTTTGTATTTGCCGAGACACTTTTGTCACAATTGTTTCTGACAATTAATCTATTAGTATATGATAAAGAAGACGTTCTGCAGTATATACTGTACTATATGCATACTATAAATACAAATATTATATAAAATGTAAATATTAAATCCCAAAATATTGGACAATCCTGCTATCCTACAGGCTATATCCGTATGAAATTGCACTGCTGGTATACCTATATAACTGATACTAGAGATTTTTTACCTTGTATATTATTATATCATGCATGTGCATGCAGTATAGCACGCTTTTCAGCAGCAAATGTTCGTTCTCTGTTTAGATTTTAATATAATTATACGAAAATCTTAAAAATAATATAAATTCAAAATCGAAAGTCCAAAGTCCATAGTCCAAAGTCCAAAGTCCAAAGTCCAAAGTCCATAGTCCAAAGTCCAGTCCAGTGTTTACAATATGCCCAGGGAAAACCCGTGCGGTATGAAATGCGTGGCGTAAACATGTCAATCAAATATCATTCTATAAATATGACGTTTTATATTTGCACAGTACATCGTGTACGTTCTTGTTGTAGAACTTGTGTTGCTCCAAATCGAGTATGAAGTAAAATCAGGAGCATACTGTCACAGGCTAATTTTGTATTTTAATACCTCTGGAAATATCAAGGCTTTGGTACCCCTATCTATCACAAAAAGTAACAAATCCAAAACGAAGTATGAGGACTAATATTTTTATATATATCATTTCACAGATTAAAAGTATTATTCAAGAAATATGTCCATTTTGATCTTAACGTGATACAAAAATACTAAATAACATGCAAAATTCAGTGCCAAAGAGGGATTTATTTTGCGGTAGTTAAATATGTAAACATATGTTCTCAAACTGGCAGAGTTTAATACCAATTAAAGCTCGCAATGCTATATATTTGGTTTGATACGAAGATAAAATAGTAAATACTCATAATAATTTAATTACAATATGTCCATGACCTTACTCAAAAATTTAGATTATTAAATCACATAATGGAACAACTTGCAATTTGCTACGCTCACTCGTTAGCAATAGTTCTCTTCAACACTCGAAATAAATTACATATTTCCGCACAACCATGTATAAATATCCTCTATACATTCCAGTTTACCTTTAATTTGTCAAGTGGTAGGCACAATATTAGTCCTTTTGATTTGTTATTCCCTTTCCCCAACACGGGAGTGATAGGAGCTTGAAAAAATGACAGTTGCATACTTGCGTGTAATTTGCTCGGAACAATTTGCAATCAACATTGCAAGATTGATTGCAATGTTGCAATACTCATGGGAACAGAACATCCGGTTTGACTGTAAGAGTTATATCAGTCCAAGACTGCTATAGAAGAAGATTTATCAAAATAAAGTCAGGATAAAGTCTATTAATACCACGATAATACTAATACTTCTCTTGAAAGCTTTTCGAAAGACGCCATCTTGTTTTAAAGCTGTTCTAGCCTGCGAACAGGTCTTCAAAACAAGGTTGACGGACTTAACAACTTAACTTAACTTACTTACTTTACTTTACTTTACTTTACGGACTGACGCGATAGCAATATATCTGCGCTACGCGCAGATACAAAAATAGAGGGATTGCCGCTTTAACTAATTGTCAAGCGTGTTTGATTTTCCCGTTGCACAGACAACGGGAAATTCTGATTGGTTAAAAAACAATAAATATTCTGATAACATTAAAACCCATCACTCAGCTGGCTTTATACTGTAAACAGACATTTGGTGAAATTAATATCTATCTGGCAGCGGGAAGCAACGAAAATTGATACGTATGTAGTTGAAAGTCTTACAACAAGCTTACAGAAACAAACGCTTGCAATAGAGTGCTTACTTGAAGGTAGAGATGTTCTAGCTGTCCTTCCTACGGGATTTGGAAAGAGTTTCCTGTTGGCTGAAGATATTGGAAGGGGTTGTTCAAGCCCAACTAGTATTATAGTATTTAAGTTGTTCCTCTTCGTAGCATTACTATTATTGATGAACAGTTTATACGGTCCAACGACTTTGCAAATATTAACTCGGCCGTTCTTATAGTGGGATCAAGGAAACCAATTTTCAGATATTTGTGTATGCGTCTGCTGATGAAGCTTAAATTGAGCCTTTAATTGTCTCCTGAATTTGTTGCCTTGTTGAAGAATAAAAGCTCGCCATTCAGAAACGAACTGCCCTCATAGTCGTTGATGAATTGGCAGTTAGGCTAATTAATACATGTTGACTTGGTGAGTTTATGGAGTTTGGGTTTATTATAATATTGTATGTCTTTGTATTAAAATATGTATGTATGTATTGTATATTGTATGTATTGTTTTGATCTTAAATGGAATAGTCATGTTGACAGTATCAATGTATCTAAAAGATTGCATTTTTTATATTAAACTAAACCTCTATGCCTCTATGTTTACAAGCTTAAAATTTAAACTTTCGGAAAATTGGAAACATGCAAATGTACGTATAAAACTATGAACTATGAATTAAAACGTTTACATGTAGAACTTGCGATTATGAATGTGTTCATGTATCTATTAGTCTTAATTATTGGAAAGTCCTCAGGGATTATAAATGTGCAGACAGTACAGTATTTGAGTAAATTGAGTTCAAATCCGGCAATAGTGCCGCGAAGTTTGTGATTTGGATCTTCAATGATTTCTGTATCCGTTCAATGTCTTTACTCAGGTAATTTGGGATTCCGTTATGAAAAACGGGCGATGCATATTCTACTATCTCGGTCGGATGCAAGTACAATAAAAACAAATCATCTCAGCAGCGGGTACATTCGCACGTTTTAACTAACGTAAATTACAAACACAACTTGTAAATCTTAACCTGCATGTAATTCAGCTGAATAGCTGTATTAAGTTGGTATTTTTTTATTACTGTAAACTATTAATATATATCAAAATATTGTCGCAGAAAGTCACAGTCTATAGAATAGACCCTTCAATAAACCCTAAGACCCCTTGCCTTGCTTTATACGTTTTTCTGCCAGACAAATTTTGATTATGAATATTCATACTTGCCAAACTGAAATTTGAGAATTTAAATACACGTTGTTTGATGGTTTTACACTAAGCGAATTGAGTCATTCGAGATCGCGCCTTTCAAGAGATGTTTTTGACCCTGTTTTGAAATATAAACAAGTAGGCGGAGCTTAATCAAACACGCTTGACAATTAGTTAAAGCGGTAATCCCTCTATTTATTAGGGATTGCTCGCAGTCTAATACAACACGGACGCGAATGTTGTAAACAACTTAAAAAACGGCTCATCTTATGACTTCATTGGCGAAGTAATTTTAAAAATAAACGTTGTCTAAGCCGAGAAAATCAAAGTTAAAGTTTATGTAAATCAACATGAATCTGTATCACATATACAGATACGCTTATGATTTTTCTTTGTGTTTTCTTCATGAATTATTAATGAGCTTTTTAAACGAGTTTACAAGTACTAGATAAAACATGAGCAGTCGATCTGTATCTGATATACAAACTCGAGCAGACGGCGAGAGTTTGTATACCGGATACAGATCGGATGCGAAGTAATTTTAAAAATAAACATTGTCTAAGCCGAGAAAATCAAAGCTGAAGTTTATGTAAATCAGGACAAATCTTTATCCGATTTACAAACATTGTTTAAACATTCATTTCTTTTGTATTTTCCTCGTGAATTATTAATGAATTTTTTAAACGAAATTATAATATAGCATTTGTAAATTCTGAACGCTGATTGGCTAAGAGCCGTGTTGATATAACTCTATGTCAACACGGAAAATTTCTTTCTTTATATTTCTTTGTGCTATATTATAAAAAAATATAAAACATTTCTCCGTATTGATATACAGTTATATCAACACTCGTGGAAATCGGGAAAACTCGAAATTGTGTGAAAACACTCCGCCCGAACACAATTTCTCGTTTTCCCAATTCCCACTCGTGTTGACATAACTGTATATATCAACACGGAAAATGCTTTATATTTGTTAATTATTTGATAGTTGAGTCGGTGTTCTTTGGGTTCTTCACAAGGATGTATATTAAACAACCAGCCAACTCTCTGAAAGTCGCACTCTGGTGGCATATTTTGTTGCATGCTGCCATGGCCAACTGGCATTTTCTTATAGCTTAAACATTGGTGAAGAAGACTATATATGTTGGCACCCCTGATTTTGGCTTGATAGCCAAAAAATTGAGAATTTTACATAGTAAATTACTATATGTTGGTCTAAAAATGCAAATTAAATTTTCAAGCCAGTTTTGAGTAAAAGAATTTTGCAAAATAGTAGCGTAATTTTGGCATAAATTAATGATTGAGCATTAAAAACTCAAAATCAACTAAGAAAATCATACTACTCGCTCATATGTCTTTTTAACACTTATCTCTGTCAACATAGTACAAAAATAAGCAAAATTATCAAATTTTCTGCTATAAAACCAAAATCACATTTGCCAACACATATAGTCTTCTTCACAAATGCATATCCAAAGGAATGCCAGTTTGGCAGCTTATAACCAAAAATGCCATCAAACAAATTTTTTTTGCGTTTTTTGGTCGGTCGTCCATATCCCATTCATCCCAAGAAAACTGAAAACCACGGCAAATATATTGCTCCAGGTTTTGTGTACGAATTTTTTCAGGCAATGTTATAAATAATCGCATGTGATGGTATTTAGGAATGTTACCCCTTGAAGACTAAAATTGTCTGGTGTCAGACAGAATAAAATAGTCTGATTTAGACAGAGTAAAATAATAAAGTATGGTGCAATAGGGTGCAATGCACCAATCGCTTTGGACGCTTTGCTAGACATGGACAGATAGTCTGATTAACTTGTTCGCTCTCCTCATCGTGAAGAGTAAAATTGTCTGGCGTTAGACAGTAAAAATAAATAATCTGGTGTTAGACAGATAAAATAATAAAGTAGGGTGTATTAATATAGGCACAGTGCAACTTAATGGCTTTACTAGGCACATGGGCAGTTATATAGCCCGATTACCTTGTTCAGTCTCCCCTTGAAGAGTAAAATTGTCTAGTGTTAGACAGAATAAAATAGTTTGATGTTAGGCAGAGTAAAATAATAAAGTATACAGGGTGCATTAGGGCACAAAGCAACTTAATAGGTTTACTAGACATGCATGGACAGAGATAGTCTGATTAACTTGTTTGCTATCTTGTTGAAAAGTAAAATTGTCTGGCGTTAGACAGAGTAAAATAATCTGGCAGACAGAGTAAAATAATAGAATAAGGTGCAATGCATCTTAATAGCATTAGTAGACACATGGACAGACACAGTCTGATTAACTTGTTCACTCTCTTCTTGACAGTGGCGAAAATCTTGGTGGGGCGATCGCCCCCCCCCCCCACCTCCACGGAGGTATGGGAGGTATGTCGGAAATTTGAAAGTTTTGTCGGAAATTTTGGAGGCTTTGCTCCCCCCCCCGGGAAAAAGTGAATTTCCGCCCCTGCCTCTTGAAGAGTAAAATTGTCTGGCGTTAAAATCTATCTGGAAGACAGAGTAAAATAATAAAATAGGGTGCAATGCATCTTAATGATATTACTAGATACTGTATATGGACAGATAATCTGATTAACTTGTTCACTCTCCCCTAGAGTAAAATTGTCTGGCGTTAGACAGAGTAAAATAATCTGGCGTTATAGACAGAGTAAAACAATAAAGTAGGGTGCAATACAACTTAATGGCATTAGTAGACACAATGGCCCAATTGGCCAGATAGTTTAACTTGTTCACTCTCCCCTTGAAGAGTAAAATTGTCTGGTGTTAGACAGAGTAAAATAGTTTGATGTTAGACAGAGTGAAACAATAAACTAGGGTGCATTAGGGTGCCACGCATGAACTCATGGACAGATAGTCTGATTAAGTCTTGCTCACTCTCCTTGTGAAGAGTAAAATTGTCTGGCATTAGATTAGACAGAGTAAAATAATCTGGCGTTAAACAGAGTAAAATAATAAAGCAATGCATTTTAATGGCATTACTAGACACATGGGCAGATAGTCAGATTAACTTGTTCACTCTCTTCGTGAAGAGTAAAATTGTCTGGCAATTTAGATTAGACAGAGTAAAATAATCTGGCGTTAAACAGAGTAAAATAATAAAGCAATGCATTTTTAATTAATGGCATTACTAGACATTGGGCAAATAGTCAAATTAACTTGTTCACTCTCTTTGTGAAGAGTAAAATTGTTGAGTGTTAGACAGAGTAAAATAATTGTTAGACAGACTAAAATAGTCGTTAGGAAGAGTAAATAAAAAACTGAGTTTAGAGGGTGCAATGCAACTTAATGGCGTAATTTACAAGATACATGGACAGGCAGTCTGATTATCCCATTCACCTGGACCCCTTGAAGAGCAAAATAGTTGAAAGGCTCTTAAAAAGAGTAAAATAATAAAGGCACATTAATTAAGGTGCATGATGCAACTTAATGAGTCAATTTTTATTTTCCATTGATATCATATATTATTTGATTTCCAAATATCAATTATGCCCTGCCCATGATGACAAAATTGGCATTTTGTGCTTCTCTAAAACAAACTTTACAATAAAATATATTTTTTACAAATAGTAATTTTGGTTTCATTAATTATCACAATATAAATATTTATCTAGCATCCGGATAAGCCAATGATTTGTATTTACAACGGACCTTACTAATATAGCCTGTGATTATACAGCCACCCGATTGTCTTGATAAACAAGACAATCAGGTGGCTGTTATTTGCAGACTAGTTCTACTTATTGTATATAAATTGGTATTTTCTCATGAGAAAATTTATGCCATTCTGAGGGGGAGAAAATCCATTCTGGTAACATAGAAACTATACACTAATTTTTCCAGAGGGGGTGGGGGGTTACCTTTCAATTTCCTCTGGGGGCAATTGTGGATTGTAGGGCACATTTTTGAGGTGGATGTATCCCCTGTTAACAATATTTTTCGAAACCACCAAAATTAGTGATTTCGGAATCAAATTGACACCTATGAGAAAAGTGATGTGTAAATTTCCCCCTAAAAAATGTATTTTGATTTGCAATGTTGGGCTCATGCCGTGAACATGTAACAATTTTTTAAAACATCTCAATTTGCCCCATGCCCCCACAACTCTGGCATTCATGGGACTATGCATGTTTTCGGGAAAAAACAATTTCTTCACCCTCCCCCCCCCTCACCCCCAAACGGAAACAAGGTGTATGGATAACCTTACCCAATTTCATTTTTAAAAGGGCTGTTACTGTGTTACATGCATGGCATATGCTACCTACACAGAACAACATGCTGACATATTATCACAAAGATTTGTGTGCATTTAGGGATTTGTAATAGTTATCCATCTAATTAATAGTCTACAATCTGAGAGGCACAATATTCATATAGTTGCCTACTTAACAGTCATCATTTGTGCCACGTCAATGTCCTGTTGAAGAATGGAAACCTTTGGAAAGTCCGCAATTTTCTTGAAAGAATGTTTACATTTTCTTTCTTACTTGTTGTACTGTCGAACATTAAAACAGCCAATTTCGCAAGCCACTTTGGACAGGCAGCTCTCCTGGAAACTGCTTTCCCATTGGTGGAAAAGTTGGTGAAATTATTATAGACCCAGAAAAGACCACAGCGGTAGAGTTCATCTTTGGAACAAATGTTCATGGCAGTTTTACAAATTGGGAAGTGCAAGTTCTCAGAAAGGGCTAATGCTGGATTCGCACGGTCAATTGTCGAATATGCCATCTCACGTTCCTCTTGAGCAATTTCCAGGGGGTTCGACTCTTCGAGGGTTTTGTCTTTTTGCACAAGACCAGGATTTCTTTCGAACACTATACCTTCAACCTCGCCTCCTTCAAGGGATTGTCGAACTAGTTTTGCAAAGCTCTCCATACATTCATCGTCAACATCATCAGATAAGTCAGAAAATAACGGGTTTAATGCATCATCCAAGGCTGGATTCTTAACCAAAAACAGCATTCCTTGGGCGACATCTTCCAAGTCATTCGTCGCTTGCCAGTCCTCTTCCAGCAAATTTAAACAAACCATACCACTGTCTTCATACCCATCACCAATATTTGGATGATAAATTTGAGACTTGAACGATACTATTGGCGGTTCGACTGGATAATTTCCTGTGAGACGAACTTCAAAAGTAAAAATACCTTCCTTGTAGTAGCCGTCTTTTATATTCAACTCAACTTCGAATTTCGTTAGTTCATCATCAAACGAAACAACCCTAGCTTCGCCATTTGAGAAGCTATAAATGTGCCTTTGTAGTTTGTAAAAATCTTTCGCCACACTACGCGTTGTCATGCTTAAAATCTTAAAGCAAGCCACAAAACGATAATAACAGGAGCTATCTTCGAGTCATATCAAACTAGAATGATGAAAATTGAAGCAGTATTTTCTCGTTTATAACCGCTCTATAAATAAAATTGTTACATCAGCCATGTTGAATCGAAGTGGTGCAACACAATGTTTTGGAAACAAATTGTGACATGGGCATTATTAGCCAATCAGAACGTTTTCGCTAATTCAGCATTTGCAATGCACGTGAAAATAGCCTGCGAATGGGCTTCGACCATTGATATGTCATGTCTGATGCAACGCAGCGCAAATAAATTTACGCAAATACGTAATGCGCATTTTCTTGGCGTAATAATTTTCTTGTTCTATTAGAATGTAGGGAGTAACTTAGATTACAGTTGCTGTAACATAGTAGTGACCTAGAGTTTCTCACTTTTATTCAAACAAAGCTACCAAAACGGAATCGGGGAATCACCGAATCAGGGAATCACCAAATTAGGGAATATCATATTCCCGCTTTTAAGATCTTTAAAAGGGGAAAGGGGGACAATGGGGAATTCCCCGATTCCCAGTTTCCCCTTTTAAAGATAGTTATTTACAAATACTAATATAGATTAGATTAAAAATTATACTAGCTAGTTATAATTGATCAAATATACTAGTTATACAAATATACTAGTTATAATTGATCAAAATTTGTTAGAACATCCAAGCAGTGCCAATAGTCAATACTTGCCACTTCGCTACCAATGTCCTACAGTCACAGATTTGTCTTTCATCGTGAACACGGGGAAATTCCCCGTCTCGCAGTCGCAGCCATCGAAAAGAGCAGTTGACTATTTCATAGACTCAAACCAGACAGTGCTAAAATGCGGTCCACTGCAACTGAAACTTCCCTTTGTTAAAACCATCAAAACAAATAGTTTGGGCTCAAAATACTATCACAATGAAGAGAAAAGTGAGAACTAAACGTACTGTTTAATATACATCAACAGTACAATTTCGGTTGTCTTTTAAAGGCCATAAATCTTATGCTGCTGTTTAGAAATAAATTTGGCATCCGTAAGTAGAATTTTTACGCTGATTCGAACGGTGGTATTTTTTCCCAAAACCAAAAGTAAGGCGCAACAAAAAGGTCGTGAGAGTCCGATATTAATTGAAAAAGAAATTTTTCCGTGGAAAAAGAAGTTCGGAGAACGTTGTGGAAGCATTGCGAACAAACTGACAAGCTCGCAGGATATAAAGCGGTGCAAAGCCAGCCAAGGCCGGCGGCAACCACTCGAGTGGACTCTAGCCCGCGTGCAGGCCCAAGGAAGTGGACTCATACTGCAGTAATGAAAATTTGTAAAAAAGATGGCTATAATTTAAAAATTTTCTTTGGTTATATTACAAAAGAAATAGAAAACAGCTTTTCCTGTGTTTCTATACAGTTTATATAGAAACACCTGTGGTAGTTTGGGAGAACTCCCAGACTGGAAAGTTTGCATATTGAACAACCGAGATGGCGAGATCAAAATTTTCGGAAATTTTGCGCGTCCAATTTTCGAAGTTGCGCGTCTGGAACGCAAAATTGCTCGAATATTTTTTCACCATATAAAACGAACGCGTTGACATTTCCCTTCAGTGTGTGTACAATCCTTGCACGTTCTTCGCACCTTCTAAACTTTCTTGATTTGAATCTCTAGTCTGTATTCATTTACAAGCATAGCGAACCAGAAGAGTGTTAAAAATTCAGTACAATATATCTAATCATATTTTACAACTATAGCACTGACTTCAAAATGTAAACAAAGCGTTTGTTTACATTACGGACTTTACAGCATCTTTAAAGATGCAGAGAAAGATATATCAGAATGATCCATATCCACTTAAAGACTTACCTCAAGATTGAACTCACCTTTTGTTCAGATCGAGCAATGCTGTAGCCAATTACCAAATTACTATTAAGGCGTTAAGCATACCGACTCAGAACTCGGAAATAACAGTTTTCCCACCTTTGTTTCTATAACTATAGAAACACTGAAAATATTTTCTATTTCTTACATAAACATATAAACTGACAAGTTTACAAAAAAAATAATAAAAAAATGACAATGAATTAAGCGAAACATACTATACGTTAGTACGCATGCGTGTAATTATACACTACAACCAAACCACAATCCTTACAAATACACTATCAGTATATAACATCCCACACGAAGCTGTGAAACGGATTGAGAGAGATACGACTACCATTGGTCACTCGTAGTGTGATTTTTTCTACAACTTGCTAAAAAAAACTTACTATTTTTTGAGGGCTTTCAATAGCCTGAATGCCCAATAATCTAATATTGAAATAAGAAAATAAACGAGGCTTCTCCAATTCCTCTGCAACTCCCACGACTAAAAAGATTCTTAGCTACTTCCTTACTATCCGTTTTGTGAAAGGGTTTTGTACAAGGTATAATTTCGAGTTCAAATCTTGTATTCTTGTACATTTATTATACCTAACCGGGAGCAGTTGCAAAACTATCAGCCCTCCAGCCTGCGATTCTGGTGCAGTGTTCTAACCAACTGAGCTACAGAGGCCATTAGTCAAGCTCTAACCGCAAGTTCATGCGAGCTAGGTGATGCCAATGTAAGGTACTAAGGTGTATAACTAAATTAAAATCCTGAAATTTACATACATGACGTCTTACATTGGCATCAGCTTAATGCTTAGTATATACACATGCATGAACTTGCAGTTAGAGCTCGACAACTGGACTCAGTAGCTCTGTTGGTTAGGGCGCTTCACCGGAATCGCAGGGCCGAGTCTTGCCACAGAGCCTATACAGTTGCATTTTAAAGGCCCTCTGGCTCAATATAACTAATTGTTGAAGGCTTAAATTGTAGACCATGGTCGGATTTTGAAGGGAGGTGTGGGGAGGTGATACACAAATATACATGTACAGACAGTACAGTACATTCTAAGACCTAACTTTCCCTGGGGGTTGTGAGCTAGACTGCTGCACCCCTAAATTTTTTCCACCTCCCCCACTATGTCTACCAAAATCTGGCCTTATTGTGGATGGAAAGTTTGAGTCTAAATTTATACATTTATTAGATCTGCTCAGTAACCACTCAGCAGGCTTTTAGCCAGGGTGTTAAAAGAGGGCATCTAGTTTTGGTACATTGATAGTATACATCTACGGTAAAGAGGGGGGGGGGGGGGGGGGGGGGAATTCGAGAAAACATCCCTCTGGAAAACCTTTGAAGTTTACATTACTTCATGTCAGTATCTGTTCCAAGCTCTTTCAAAATTTTTCAAACACACTTGGCTTTGTGAGTTTGTGCCGCTATATATGCTTATTTACTTATAACTACGACATTTTCATTCAGCCAGGTACACCATCAAATTGATCAAAATGTCAAATGTATAATAATATTGAGAATTGAAGCTATTTTGTTTCAGGTATATTAATATATACTTAGGGAAATAATTGAAAATAATTTCCCTTTTCCCCCAGAATTTGGGTGTCCAAAGGTGTCCATTTTTTGTTCTAGGGGCATCCCAAGATGCCTGGATGCCCTTCTGGCTAAAAGCCTGCCACTCTCGAGAGCTGTTGCCAATTTAAGATGCCCAAAATCTTCTCCCCAATTTAAGATGCCCAAAATCTTCTCTTCTCATGCGCAATGTTTTGCTTACATATTTTGTTTCAAACAATCTAGATAATCAATTAAAATTCCGATCTGTGGGCTCAAACATAATAGCTTATCACACATTCGAGTACATCACCAAAGATAAAATTGAGCATGACTGAAGAGAAAATTTAGCTCCAAAACAGTAAATTTCAAAGTGCAGGTCATATAAGCAGCAGCCCCCAAGTGCTAGTTTAGTAACAAAACCCATCAAAATTTCAAGCAATCTCAGAGGTTGAGCAAAGTAGATAATGCTTTAAGAGCAAAGACAAAATGGTTTACGTTAGCTAGCTAGTCCACTATATCATTAAGCTGTTATCACAGAATAGATCTTAGCTGATTTCTTGGTTTTGCCTATGATTTTGGCATTATAAACCGTTGCAATGCTGTCGCCATGTTCCTAACCATGTGCTTATGAGAGGCATTCACACACCCCCCCAAAAAAAAAATGTTCTGCACTCAGGGGGGAGGGGGGTGAATGCCTCTCATAAGCACATTGTCTAGAAAAAAATGGCAAGAGCGAAGTCGACACTTTTTGAATTGCATTCATCATAGTCGCCAAAAAAAATTTCAGTCAGTGTACCATTTTAGGGTTAAAAATTTTTTCCAGACACACCAAAATTTTTCGGCATATGAACAAATTTTTCCGTTCATCTCAAATTTTTCAAAATTCTTGTAAAATAATATACCTAATTTTTTTCCAAATTTACAGTTATTTTTGGTAAATTAACTTTCCCTAATATTGTCCTAGGAAATACATGATTTTGTGTCACTTTGTCTGAATTTCTTCTGCAAATCTACCTGAAATTACCTGAAATTGCTCATGTGAGCACTTATTGCTAACGGCCCTGTCTGCATTTTACAACTTTTTATGTTTGCGGGAAAAAGCGGGAGGATTTTTCAAAATGCAGGAGGAAAAGTCAATGCGGGAAATTTGTGGGGAAAGTGATCAAATGCGGGAGCCTCCCACAGGATGCGGGAGGGTTGGCAACTATGATTCATGAGCATGCATAAAAAGATTTCTGTACAGTTTAATTATTCTGTGGTGTTATTTGCACATAATTAAGATAACAAAAAATACAAAGTTTATCATAGATATCATGTACTTGACGTGTTCAAATATAATGGGCTATTCAATTTAATATCCATATACCCCCCTGTCGAATTAGGAATATACATGTTTTTCACAGTATATATACCCCCGAAGAATTTCAAGCTCAAAACCCTTTACCCCTGAAGAATTCCAAGCCCTGGAAAAATTCGGTACCCTTGAAGCAGTTAATTCCAACTTCCAAGTTCAAAACCCTTACTTTACCCCTGAAGAATTGCAAGTTCAAAACCTATTACTCTTGAAGAATTCCATGAATTCCAAGCTCAAAAACTACCCTGACTTGAAGAATTCCAAGCTCAAAGACGGGGGGGGGGGATACGGATATTTAATATTAAAATGGAACAGCCCAATATATATCATGTTCAAATATATAAACTGAAATAAAATAGGTTTTACATTAAAAATGCAGAGGCTTTTAGAAGTGAACAACATTTGTCAGTAAGGCAATGAAATGAAAAGCAACGCTTACCTGGGATTTTCAATCGCTGTGTGACGTTTCTGACAGTTTCTAAAAACTCTTCAAACGCTATCGCTTTGGTATTGTGGCAAAAACAGAGTATATTTTTGCACCATTACACAAAGAAACACTGATATATAATTGCCAAATGGCTAAACTTTCGTTTAACCTAGAAACCTCGCGGAAAAAGTGACTTCTTTATTAATTCTAACCTGGATTTCTTCAACTTTTATTTGAATCAAATTCCCGCCAATTTGCAAAATGCGAGTCCACAATCACGTTCAAATTGCTTGTCAGCGGTTGTTAATCAGGCCTTACTTTGTGTAACACTTTGTAATATTGCATTTATGCATTTAATTAAATTATTCGGAAAAAATAACACATTTTGTCACCCCCTCCACCCCACCCCCTTCGATGTTGTAAACAACGCTGAAACAACGTTTGGTAATTTACCATGATACAAGCTCAACATTGAGTTGGGGGAGGAGTGGTTTAAGAAGCCAGCATGACTCAACATCCAATTTATCATAAGGAGTATGCGAATTTTGATAGAGGGGAAAATTAGAATTTGCATATCAAAGTATTCAAATCCCCAGTGGCGTAACTACTGTGGGCTCAGACCGGCAGAACTCGGGGGCCCCCCAACCCCAATGGGCCAAATGGGGGCCCCCAGGCTTAGGCGACTGAGGCATAGAGCAAAAACGTAGGTCAGGGCCTCTGAATATGCTACAATTTCGTTTTCTGACCATCAGAATTCTGTAAAATCTCTCCCCAAAGTCCAGGAAATGGCATTTCAGAGTCTAGATTCACACATTTTCCCGACGAGCATGCCCTGGATCCCGTAGAAAATTCGTGCATATACGACAATCGACTCGTGGCTTTGGCACTTCTACTAGGGGGCCTTCGAAAATTTTGAACCGGGGCCCCCCTGATATAACGTTACGCCACTGCAAATCTTAGTGACGTTTGAATACTCAAACTATATTCCTTTCATATAGTATACCTTTCTTTATTTTGCTTTACACAGAAGATAAAATATGCTAGTACTAATACAATTATTTTATAATGGACAGTTCTGTTATGTTCTACTATAAGCATGGGCATACGGGAAGGAAAAAATTAGGGGAGGGGAAAAGAAATTTGCCAGACTTTTTCGGATTGTGATCGAGTTGTCAAAAAAAATTTCCCGAGAAACTTTCCAAAATTGTGGTCGACAGGGGAGGGAGGAGTAATTACGAAAAATTCCTATTAGATAGCATATTTCCAACAAAATTGACAGAATTTGTCCCATTTATTTTTATAATAAGCCAATATTGCCCGACTGTGAAGCGAATATTGCCCGACTGGCTTTGTTTGCCGAACAAACTGGGGGGGGGGGGGGGGGGGGGGGCTGGCGCCCTCCTCGCCCGTTACGCCCATGTCTATAAGTAAACACAAATAATAACTTGAAGACTTAAGATTGACGATTGAAAATAATCTTAATTCTCAGACAATAATATCTATGAATTGATCGCAGATACGAGAAAGGTAGCATTCGACAGCTAAAAGTCTGATCTTTATTGGTATGAAAAAAGCTATAGTAAATGGTAAAAACGTAATATATAATCCACGATTACATGCCAAAGTTGGATTACCTTTCTTTGCAGGGCCGCCGAGAGCTTTTCTGGGGTCCGGGGCAAATTTGTTTTGGGGGCCCCTATTCCCAATTTTTCCGGAAACTTTTTTCGAACAATAACGTCCCCCCCCCTCCCGCCCCGGCAAAAACTTTTTAGGGGGGGGGGGGGAATTTCCTTACAAGTACGTTTTAATTGCTTTCGTGGCACTTTCCCATACCAAATTTCGGTACTTTGCCCGAAAAATACAAATATTTCGCCCAAAAAACAGAAGTATTTCGCCCGAAACAATGACTGGGGCCGCACAAAAAATTACTAGGGGCCCCCAGAGCCTGCGGGCCCGGGGCAATTTCCCCCCCCCCCCCCCACTCGCCGGGCCTGTTTCTTTGATACACCTTGTATATGAATCTCACTGGAATCAACGCACTATGAGCGTATTTCCTCCCCTGTGTTTTAGACAGTGATTAAATCAATCGTCGAAACATAAGGGCTAACAATTTCTAGCTTAGTAGTCTACCAGTAGCAGAACCCATTGAATGGGATATAGGGGGCCTGTACCTGTACGATTTAGCTGATCTGTTGCCATTTGTTTGCGTGCTCGAAATTCATGGTTATTAAGAATGACATCGAACATTTGTCCCTCATCAACGCCGGAACGCCCTATTTACATGTATGATTGTAGCCTACGGTGTAGACCCCAGCAGAAACACGTTTCGTGGGATCTACACCGCCGGCTAGCATGATTGCGGCTTTCATAAGAGTCGTGTTTTAGAGGCATTTATTATCTTTACACTTTGTATGTTATATTGTATTCCATTGTATATATAAGGGTTCGTACATGTCAGAGAGAGTCAAACTCAAGGACTTTCCAAGAACATTAATGAGGCCATGTACCAGCAAATTCAAGCACTAAATACTGACGAAAAGGCGTTCGAAATCAGTAAAATGTGACGTTGAGCATGAATTGTTCAAAAAACGCAACATTAATGAATTTCAAACAGCTTTGTCAGATATGGACATGCAAAATCAGTTCAACAAAACATCCATTTTTTAATAGAATGTGAAACAATTTCAGAAGGGATCCATAAGCTTGTCATCAGAAGATGCTCTTCCCAGGGGCCGTATATTTCTAGTATTTACCATAAAATTTACATAACAAATTACTATTTACAATCTATTTTTGAAAATTTTTAGCCGGTGAGTACAATCTCCTTATTTTCAATTGATATTGACTTCCATACCAATCGGCTCCATTATACTCTAGCCAGTTTTTCAAAAAGTTGGTGTGGGTTAGAAATGACAAAATTGTAGTCATGACCACGTGTGTTATGACTATGAAGTGTGTTATAGCTCGATTATAAACCACCTCGAAAGATAAGATGGGCTTAACTTGTAAAATATGTTATAGGTGATGTGCAACCACTCCCGTGGGATTCAAAGGACAAAGAGATTTTCGCCATGTTGGACGATATTCACATTACAAACAAGCAAAATCCTTTGTCAATGTCATCCAACATGGCACACCACCTTTTACATCAAGCAAGATTTTTGCTTCATTCGCCTATCTTCCAATATCGGCCAATTTAGGTATTTTACAATCTGCGAAGAGCGTATTTCATAGTTGCTCCCAGTAAAAATTCGGGCTGCTCGATTTTGTATAACTTATCCCGTAAACCTTTACCAAAAGTATCCCAGACAAAACTGCAATCATCGAAATGAAGCAGAACGATAGACGAGTATGTGTCAACCAGCGTGTTAGTGCATGGGTGATCAATCCAGCTATAGACTAGATTTTGATCAACGCCAGAAGAACGAAATCGATTCCAGCACCACAGCTAGAAATAGCGTCTTAGAATTGAGTAAAACTGCGACGATTGGCTGCTAATTGTTGTAAAATGAAGAAAATATAGCCCTGTGAAGTTCGCAAATTTTGTATATATTACGCGAGGTAAAAGTAATCACTTTCGGTTCAAAAATGATTATTTTTCACGCGCGTAATACAAATATATACAAAATTTGAGAAATTCAAAGGGCTATATTTTCCTCATTTTACAACAATGTTTCCAGCTATGGTAATGGATTTCGTTCTTCTTGTCTAGACCAAAATTTCGTCTATTCTTGAGTTTCATATGACGTCACAGAAGTGACGGGGGGTCAACTCTAAAACAAAACACAGTTATCAGAGTGAGTCGATTGTTCGTTTTATGTATTAGCCTTGTCTTTGGTGGCAAATACATGGAATTTCGTATCATTTTTTCACTCCAGTACAGCATAATTATCAATAAATTTGAGGTTCACCCCCCGTCAGATTCACTGCATGATGCCGTAGTGAAACCCAGGAATAGCTGGAATTATCCAATGGCACCAGATCACGAATACATCTTAACATTCCTAGACCTTTAGACAAGTTCTTTCTAATTTACGTGTTCGTCCCCACGATAAATTTTCATCAATTTACAGTACGTGTTCTCGCCGCGATAAATTTAGGTTGCTGTACACATCGCCTATTTAATTACTTACAGGATCGGACAAGTGCCAAGGCCTTCGCAATTAACAGCACAAATAGTTTCTTGAAACGAGGAATCTAGAATGTATCACTATTTCCAGATCCTACCGTATCATTATAACGTCCTTGTTCGTCCACCAGATCGTAATTACCCATTTCTGATAGGTCCGTCTTCTCTGCAGTCTCGTATTCATAGTCCACATTCTCTTTAAGCTGAAAGATGGCGTGAATACAATATGTAGATTGCAATCATTACATTGGCATTACATCTAAGTCTAAACTATATATATTTTACACTAACAAGCTGAACAGTACTTTTGATGTAGACCGTCCTAGAACATGGAAAACTGTGTGTAGTAAATGTCGTTCTTTACAAACTGTTGTTCATAGATGTAATTATTAACAATTATTGGATGAGGTTTTTGTGATATGCGAAATTATGAAGGTCGATCGAGGTAAGCGTTATCAGCCGAGCCGAAGGCGAGGCTGATAACGCTTACCGAGACCCTGATAATTTTGCATATCGCAAAAACCGAATTCAATAATTGTTTTATTATACATTTGTTTGTGTTAAATAGATACCGCTTGCTAATTGCAGGCTCATTTGCAGATAACTCAGTTATCTGCTGGCAGATAACTGAATTTTGCTGTAGGTTGCGTGATTGCGCGATTTAAACTGTAAGCTCTTAGCCAATCAAATTGCTTTTACTAACTACAATGTATAATAATAATTGTTATTATGCCATAATGTTTATATATATAATATCTATTCTTGTAATACCTATAAGTAATTATGTAATGTAAGCTTTTGCATGATAGTTCTTAATTAGGGACTCACGTACATCCTGTTGTCCTTACCATCAGTCATTTGATAGTAAGGCGAGACTTTTTTTATTCATTGGTTTACGGATCCGCCGACCGTAAATATTCAGAAAGTGAAAAATAAAAATAAAAAATTTGGATGTCAAAAATTTTACAATTTTAGTTAATTTTAATTAATTTGGGGTTCTGACATGAAGTACACTTCAAGTGAACTTTGACTCTAGGTACTGCTGGCTCATATTATCGTTGTGACAATCAATATGTAGATTAGCCACGTTTTTTGCGTTTTTTTTTTAAATTGACGTTAAAAAATTTTATAAAGATTATTAATTTCGGTTCTCATTTATACTCAGTTCGGTTTTTTTTTTAATTTTTTTTCCGACCTACCGACCTCTTATTTTTAAAGTCAAATCCGTAAACCAATAAATAAAAAAAGTCTCGCCTAAAGTTAAATAAGCAAAAATAAGTATGATATATTCGTTCAAAAGGAGGAATTAGCATATACATAGCCAATCGACGGGAAGATGGCAACCAATGTGAAAGATGGCAACCAATGTGAAAGATGGCAACCAATGCGTCCCGATATCGTTCACTTTCATTTCCCATGTCTTGGAACTGATATATTTTTACGGGAACTAACACCTTCGAACACGCTGAGATCCGAAAAGTTCCCGCTCCGTAGACCTGCAGTTTTCTCACAAACTGCAATTTAATTTTATCTTCACTAATTTCACGACAACTTTTTTCGTTGTTCAACGACACGGATCGATGACGACAAACGATTATGTCACTCAAGAATACCAATTTCTATTAACCAGTCTTCCTTTTAACAAAAAACTGGTTTTGCTCAAATCATTTTGAGTTATGTAATATTGTGCGTGTTGAACGTAAACAACATAGCTTGTCTACAACTTTGATACAGATAAAGCTTTCTAGAATCCTCAGTTCTGGCTTTATCTCAATAAAATCCCAAGGACGTTAATGTTAAGTCTTTTGGCTATGTCTCTGGGCTGAGAAATAACTCTTTCAACGCGATCAAGGAATTTAAAATAAAAGTAACGCAAAGTCAACGGAACGGCAAAGACAACACTAAAATGAAATATTGTCGATGGGTTGCTGGTAGAAGACTTACGACAGGATCACTCTTAAATAATCTTAAACTAGAAGAATAAATGTTCACATCAAAGACAAATATCAGTGCCAAAGTATAAAATCTGCTCTGTAAACTTACGACGAAGTGGAGAAATGTGTGCATGAGCTGTTTATGTGGTGATTACAACGTATATGAAAGCCCTCTTTCCAATAATACTCGCTAATCGCACAGAATAACACCAACTGATATAATAGTTCAAACACAATGATAAGTTACCTCTTGAATTACGTCTCAAAAACTGTGTTGGAAATTTAAATGCTGATCCATTACATAACTTTACCGTTTTACATCGTTGTATAAAACATTTTGATCGCGTGTAAAGAATTATTTCTCAGCCCAGAGACATAGCCAAAAAACTAAGCATTATATAACGTCCTTCTAATTTTATAGAGATAGAGCCAGAACTGAGGATTTCAGAAAGCTTTATCTGTACCTTCCCAAAGTGGGAGACAAGATGTTGTTAACGTCCATATCGAGCAAAACCGGTCTTTTGTTAAAAGGAAGACTGGTTAATAGAAATTGGTCCTTTTGAGTGACATAATCGTTTGTTGTCAGCGATATGCTCATTGTTTATATGGCATTTATCGTGATGCTGCAAGTTTAATACAAAACAAGAATAGGTAACTTTTCCTACCTGCTCAAGAGGCGTCCTCCTTTTTCTGTAAAAATTAAAAAAAAAATAAAAACATTTTCTCAACAGATTCTACTGTAGCTGCCATTGCTCCATTATATCATACACACTATAATCTGAACTAAACTAACTTTATTTATACTGGATAGCTCTATCAGTTAATTCTAAACTGTTCTCCCTGGAGGTCCAGTAACAATCATCTCTTATTGATCCAGTGTACTACCGGAGGAAACCTAAATCAAACTAACTTTATTTGTAGTAGATAGCTCTTTCACGAGTGTTACTACAGGAGGAAACCTAAATAGTTGATATTTATACAGGACAGCTCTATCAGTCTCAAACTGTTCTTCCCACCCTTGAGGTCCAGTAAGGGTCATCACTTATTGATCCAGTGTTACTACTGAAGAAAACCTAAAATAGACTAACTTTATTTATACTGGATAGCTCTATCAGTTCTAAACACTTCTCCCTAGAGGTCCAGTAAGGGTCATCACTTATTGATCCAGTGTTACTACTGAAGAAAACCTAAAATAGACTAACTTTATTTATACTGGATAGCTCTATCAGTTCTAAACTGTTCTTCCTAGCTGTCCAGTAAGGATCATCTCTTATTGATCCAGTGTTACTACAGGAGGAAACCTAAACTAAACTAACTTTATTTATACTGGATAGCTCTATCAGTTCTAAACTGTTCTTCCTAGAGGTCCAGTAAGGATCATCTCTTATTGATCCAGTGTTACTACAGCAGGAAACCAAAATTAACTTTATATTTATACTGGATAGCTCTATCAGTTCCAAACTCTCCTTCCTAGAGGTCCAAACTAAACTAACTTTATTTATACTGGATATTCCGATGCAGCGCTCTAACCACACGTTCTTGTAACAAATACATGGTGGGTGATGTCAGTGCGAGGCATGGGCTAATATCGAGATATGGGGCATCTCGCTCGATAGCGGATGAGCCTAGCTTCACAGGTGCTCCTAGTTAGCCCTGAAAATAATCTTCCGCTTGTGGTGATGATGATGGTGCTCCTGGTTAGCCCTGTAGATAATCTTCCGCTTGTGGTGATGATGATGATGATGATGATAATGATGATCGTCGTGATGATGGTTGTGATGGTGCTGGTAGTGATGATAATGATGATAATGATGATGAAAATGATAATGGCAATAATGATGATGATAATTGTGGCGATTGATCACGATAATGAGACACAAACCGTCTACCTGCGATATATGTATTGACATGCTGCTAAAGCAACAAGGGTCACTGGCAAACCAACACCAACACTGGCCCACAAAAAAACATTACTTCCATCTGGCGTTTCGGTTCCATCATCTCTAACTGAAAGAAAATAATTTTCAATTTTTCTTCCAACCTTTTCACCGTTATAAGTTCTTTGAATATTATTATTAGAATATATACATATTATTAGCACTGATGAAGATCCGGGCTTACGCGGATCGAAAGCTTTGCAGTAATAAATTTACGTGGTGTTTCCACAAACAAAAACAATTATTCTTTTCACCGTTGTTCCATAATAGAGAACCGGCCAACTTTCTGAAAGTTACACCCTAGTGGAATTTTTTGTTACAATCGAGTATGTGTTAGAGTATATGTTAGATAATATCATGATCGCCTCGTTTTCTATTGTTCTCATAGGGAATTTAAATCCCGTATTTTCCTCATTACGCATGCAACAGGGAATATTTCGCTTTGTCTACTAAATTTCCGGGAAATTTAGTAAAAAACAAAAGATTTCTTTGTCTATTAATCTTCCCTCATCAAAAAATGCACGGGATGATTAGTACACAAAGAAATCCTTCGTCTTTTACTAAATTTCCCGCTTCCATATTTAATGCAAACGGAAAACCTAAAGCACTCAACAATTTTATTCAACATATTAAATTTTTAATGTACACAAGTATGACTTTGCTCAACAATTAAACGTCAAACTCCAACTCAAGACCAACTGTAAAATTCATGCTATCAACGTCCGTTTATATTTATGTTTATATTTACGTGACTAGCAGTGGCTCCTTGAAGCAAACCACTTAGATTTATAGATTCTCTGAAATTCGTTTCTTTCTGCCTGAAAATCTTTAAACTGCTCGTTCCTCTCTTTAACCCACGCGTTGTACACATTTGTACTCCACGTAGTGTGCCTTATGGTATTCTTTGGCACTCTATCTTTTTGAACATTTTCAACTGTCCGGTCTGACACAAAATAGAACCTTCCAGTTGCAGCCATATTCGAAAACTAAGTTTAAAATCAATGCAGTGATTTACATAAGTCTCACAACAACAAAGCATGTCCCAAAGGTACACTTATTTCAATCAATAGTCAAACTCATAAACAACTTCATTGAAAAATACAAAATCAAACAGCTAAACTTATCTCTGCAGCAAACGTTTTTGAGTTTTCGTCGGCGATCGTAATATTACAAACTAATAACATGACTAGTCGGGAAATTAGCGATTAAATTTCCCGACGCCGAGGTGTTAGAGAATAGTTAGAGTATATGTTATAATTTATTATATAGTAGAGAGTAAAATACTGAAAAATGCACATTGAGATATTTTCCATATCTTCACTAGTGAAGATATCGATCACGTGGCTTTTAGTATTTATACATTTTTTGCTTGGGACTATAAAATCAACAGAACATTACATGGTGACTTGAAGATATGGCTTTTATCTTCTCGTGTTAAAAACAATATTTCACTCACTCACTGCGCTCGTTCGCAAAATATTGTTTTCACCACGTGTAATATCCTCTATATATGTTAGAGTATATGTTAGAGTATATGTTAGAGTATATGTTAGAGTATATGTTACGATGCGTTTGTTTTAACTAGTACATGTTAGAGTAGGCCTATATGTATTTATAAAGTTCTGTTGGTACCTCTGATTCTGTTGTAGAAATATCGTAAAAAAGCATATTATATATAAGATATTAAAGCGAGTGGTGCGAATTGTCAAGTCGGTTTTGAGTTAAAGGAGTTCGGAAAAAAGTTGGGGTCACCAAATTCGTTTTGAAGATATGACAAGTGCAATATGTCACCTTTTGCCTCATCTGGCGCCATCTTGACCCATTTACCAGTTACAGGAACAACGCAATTGCTTATCCTTTATTAAATTTTTAACAATGATCCTACTAAAATGTCTATCTATAGTGATTATATACAAGAAAACATGGTATTTTAGCGAGTCAAAAACTATTGAGTGACGTGCATTCTGGTGTTGCAAAAATGTCTTCCCATCTTCTCAGACATGTTATTTTGGGAAGCGTGCGCAAAAAATGTATGACATGTAAAACGTATAGATGAAGAACAAAATACAAAAGTGGGGTCATGGACCTTCTTAATTAAAAAGATACAAGGGATAAACATGCAACATGATATGGTTTAGTGTTAGTTGCACAAGGAGCCCTAGCCAGAGTTCTGTCATTTTTACAGGTATGCAGAGTGTTTTTCTCTTTGCCCTTACTCTTTCTTTGTCACTTTACATTGCAATTCGACCACATATATTAGCTAGAATTTGTTATTAGATATACGCAGTAAACGTGTGCAATGCAAAACTGATGATTCACTTAAACGACTCAGAAGAAGACTCAAAATTAGACTTCTAAACACTTGGACCTAACAAGGAGCAGTTGCCAAAAAGATTCTCTGCCCCCCTGAGATCGACTTACATTGAATTGGAATAACTTGAGCGTCACTGTAAGGGCTGCAACTTTCGTTCACATGCATACACGCTCGCACCTGAACCTGATACTCGACATCACAGTCTAATCCAAAGATCACAGTACTCGTAACGTTGGGCAAAAAAATCAGTTGTGGAACGGATTTCTTCTTAAAATATTTCACAGTCATATTTCTTATTATGCCATTCCTGCCTTTGACGGGTGGAGGCTGTAATAAAATATAATAATATCACGTTGAAAACAAAGAAGTACGAGACCGTAACAGACCTCCGGTAAGTACGCGATTTATATATTAATAATATACATAAAGATATTACTCGACTGTGATTGGTTGATTTCAGTGCAGTTAATCCCAAACAGCAGTGCAATTTTCTGTAATCACAGTGCAATTTTCTGTAATCACAGTGCAATTTTTTGTAATCACAGTGCAATTTTCTATAATCACAGTGCAAAAATCTGTAACAAACTGATCTGATTGATGGAAAATCATTGTGATGATTAAATCGGCCAATCAGTTTAAAGCAATTTAGTTTAAAGAAGTAATAACGGTCACAGATTGCTTCAAAAGTAAAAACAAACATGGCGCCGCGCTACACAAAGTAAAAGTTGCTTTCGCGTGGAGAATATGGCTTTTATCTTTATTTTTAAATGGAAAAGCATTTATCTTAAACAAGACTAACAAAAATTACATAGTTGAGTGGAATTTTCAAGCTGTTAGCGTTGTATAATGTGATATAATAAAGCCAGGAAAATTTTGCCAGTGGAATGTTCGCTATAAACGCGTAAGTTAGAACTACAATTGTCTCGAACATTTTTATGTAAATTATTAATAAGTAATAGCATGGTTTCGAGTGCAATTTGGATATAACATGCACTCGTGAGTTTTTCAAAGACCTCAAATAGCACTCGTCCTTCGGACTCGTGCTATTTTGAGGTCTTTGAAAAACTCACTCGTGCATGTTATATCCAAATTGCACTCGAAACCATGCTATTACCTATACATACCGGGTGGCCCAAAAAAAAGTACTCCTGTTTGATTCGTAATAACATCTAAACAAGTATAGCTTTTAAAGAGAAATAACTTGCATCAAATAGAGGAAGGACTAACTTAGACTTTGATATATTACAGTTGTATTTCACTTAAAAATTCACGGAGATATTAATCTTTAAATTCGGGAGGATATTTCTGGATGTGTCTGAAATATGCAAAAATCGGCGTATCAAATATTAATCAAGATTTGCCCGACTGAAACATGCACTATTACCAGTAAATAAATGACACTTGACAAATTGTTTATTATGAAAGTATTATTATATCTATTAATTCTGCTTTAACCGAGAAATAATCAACTTCGTTTTGAACCCATGAAAAACATAAAAAAATAGGTTATTTAAGAAAAATTGAAGCGCCTGCCTTGCATGGTCTTTCAGTACCTTAAGTTTGCAAAGACCTATTAAATACTTACATAATTTCGAACGTTCATATTTCAGGAAACAATAAGTTAAGACTTACATGTAAGATGTCTAAATCTACGCCATATCCCTTACAAACCCTAACGACAATTCGCTGAAATACAATTTACCCTGATATGTCATTAAGCAAACAAACGCTGGAGTTAAAATTTGATACGCCGATTTTCGCTAATTTTAGACACATCCCAAAATATGCTCCCGAGTTTGAACATTAATATCTCCGTGAATTTTTAAGTAAAATACAACTGTAACATATCAAAATCTAAGTTAGTCCTTCCTCTATTTAATGCAAGTTATTTCTGTTTGATAGCTTTACTTGTTTAGAAGTTATTATAAATCAAACCGGAGTACTTTTTTTTGGGCCACCCGGTATAGCAGCCTGAAACAGCTCATCTTTTATTCTTACCTTTGATCAAGACTTTATCAAACTCATCTTTTACTTATCTTTCGTACTACACTTAGGCGAGACTTATTTATTCATTGGTTTACGGATCCGTCGACGGTAAATATTCCGAAAGTGAAAAATAAAATACAAAAATTTGAATGTCAACAATTTTACGATTTTAGTTAATTTTAGTTCTGACATGAAGTATACGCCAAGTAAACTTTAACTAAGTACTGTTGGCTCATGTTATCGTTGTGACAATCAATATGGAGATTAGCCATGTTTTTCCAAGTTGAAGTTGAATGTTTAGAAGATAAAAACATCGATTTTAAAGAGCTGAGACAAATGAAATTTTTTCCCGACCTGTTTTTCACGACCAACCGACCTGAGGTTTTTTTTAAGTCAAATCCGCGTAAACCAATACATAAAAAAGTCTCGCCTTACCGTCCACACAACCGTGACATTTCTTTTGTTTTCAATGCAATCATTCACTCCACGAACTATTGGCCGTATTGTTGGCCTGGAGGTTGGCACTGAAAAGACAAATAATACAACAAGGTTGGTACATATCAGGAAGAGTCAAATTCAAGGACTTTCAAGGACATTCAAGACATATGTATCAGCAAATTCAAGCACTAAACACCTAAAAAAAGGCTTAGAAATCAGTACAATGTCACGTTGAATTGTCCAAAACGCAACTTTAATGAATTTCAAACAGCTTTGTCAGATACGGACGTGCAAAATCAATTAAAAAAATGTCCGTTTTTGAATGTCAAACAAGTTCAAAAAATATCCCATAAACTAAAGCAAGAAGAATTCAAGAATTTTCAAGTATTTTTTTACAAATTCCAGGATATTCAAGGCCTTGAATTTTTGTCTTCAAATTCAAGGACATTCAAGGCTTTCAAGTTTTCTACAAACCCTGGTCAACTCTGGCCTTGTCGACACCCAGGAATGTAGAAGGGGAGGGGCGCAGGGGTTCTATGTTCCAGTAACCTAATATTTTTCGTGGCTCTTTATCTTTTTCTTAATCTCGAAATTCTACCGATTAATCAAAACCTTTGCCGACTATAAAGCGTTTACACATGACGTCACAGCCGCCATGTTGGTGTTCCAATTCAAAAGAATTTTAATTTTATTTTTTTATTTAATCTTTCGTCTGGAACACCAAGCTCTCAATTGGTGACCGCAATTTCTGATCGTGCACAGTATAATTTAATTTCTTGTAAACTTGTCAAGTTTTCCTTGGAGGCATTACACACGACCACATTTTCCTGGTCGAAAAGCTGGCATGACTAGCCAAGGCGCTGTTAATAAAGTGCCTATGCAACAAATTTTTCACTTAATTTTTTATTGTTTTTCTAAAAAGTACTGCTGGAGTGATGAAGAATGCCGTTTACAGTTTCGTCATATCTCAACTCATTCTCAAGTTATCACACTTTCTAGATTTTGAGTTGTGACCTGACAAGTATGAGTTGAGATAATGGCAATAACAAGAAAGTATGATATCTTGGTGAATATTTAATAAAATTCAATGAAACTTGGTACACTTAGTGGGTACACTCCTATGAATATTTCTGGTAGGTCATGTGGTTGTCATGGCAACACGCTAGTCCCCAGTCTCTTCTCTTCCTTTCACAACTTTCCTCCCGTGGACCTTTTGCAGAGGATGTTTACATATTATAACTGTATAAACTGATACCAATACCTACACGTATTATAGTAATAAGCGAAAATTGTAGAAATTGCTATTTATTTCGTTGAAAATGGATCATATAGAAATTACAAGAGACAGGACTGGGGACGAGTGTGTTGCCATAACAACCATACAAACAAGCCAAATTGTTGACTTTGTTGCACCCACTAAGTGCACCACGTTTCATTAAATTTTATTACATACTCATCAAGATATCATACTTTCTTGTTATTGCCATTATCTCAACTAATACTTGTGACGTCACAACTCAAAATATAGAAAGTGCGATAACTTGAGAATGAGATGAGATATGACGAAACTGTAAACGTCATTCTTCATCACTCCAGCAGTACTTTTTAGAAAAAAAACAATAAAAAAATGAGGTGAAAATTTCGTTGCATTGGCACTTTAAAACTAAAGCCTAGTTTCCATTTGGTCGTTAGTTGTCGCTGGCACGACAAGCGGTAGATGTGAAATAGTCTAATATAATACTAGTCTTTGTGTGTGTTATATGCAAATCAGTCTTAATGATTGCAGAGTTTTATAAAGTTTTGTTGACACTCTATCACATCAGCCACGTGTCGTGCCAACGACAACTAACGACCAAATGGAAACTAGGCTTAAAGTGCCTATGACACGAAATTTCACCCCAAAGGTTTATGGTTCCATTGTAAAGATCACTTAAAACGACTTAATAATTAAGGATTACAGCACTCTTAGAGTGCATTATCGGGATTTACAAGCACGAGTTCACGAACAAGAAACAAGAAATTTAACACTGCACGAGGCGCAGCCGAGTGCAGTGTTAAATTTCGAGTTTCTTGTTCGTGGACGAGTGCTTGTAAATCCCGATAATGCACGAACAAAGAGTGCTTTAAACGTTTTAATATTCAGTTTGAGTAAACCATAAAAGAACAAGCATTTCATACTGTATATGTATGCAAAAAAGAAATATGCAAAAAGAAACACCACAGTTGATAAGGCATTTCTCAAGAACATTTTTTTATTTAAACCAAATAATTCATATTTACATAAACCAAATTTTATAATTACAAAATTTATAATTACAATAAAAGTCAGTATAATTTTCAAATTGAGAAAAATTATTAAATAAAGATTTTTAATATGTAAGTGAAGTTCAAGTAAACCATTATTAACACGCAACATTTTTGTTAACACTAAACAGCTAAACTGTTCACTTACTGTTTTTAACGATATTCAATGTAATATTGCAGTTATTAAATTCAGCACTTCGTAGCAAATTTAAAGTAGGAGAATGGTTAACATTGGCCACAATGTTGTTTTGCACTTGACTTTGGGCTTGCTGTGACTGTGTGTTGCCTTCTTGTTCGAGCTCCTGCCGTGCTTGTGCTGGCAATTCGTTCCCAAATCTCGCGAGGATATTTGACGATTCCTTTTCCTTCTCCAAAGTTTGCCGATCACAGTAGAACTTGACACTTGATTCATTCCTGTGGCCTGACGTTTGCATGATTCTGTGGATGGGAATCCCAGCGGCATCCAAAACTGTGACGGTTGTTGACCTCACGCAATGGTTGCTGTAAACATGGCTTAAATTCGCATCTTTTGAAATTTCTTTCATCATTGATCCTATTTTGTTCACACCAATTGGACAGTTTTCGAACCATATTTGATCACCAGACATGAAATTTCTTTTCGGCTTTTGGAATAAAGCATTTTGTTTTGGATTCAAGACAGCGAGAAGCTTTTTAAAATATCTCACCAGACATGTTGATTTCCCATTGCTGAACATTTTCGGGTCTCCTTCGTCAATAGCTTTATCTCCAAGCCCGCCTTGATGATTTTTCGTGCTTTCGCTTACTGCCATTGCCACATACTCATTTCCAGTTGCATCCGTTTTAATCTCGAAACTTTCTTTTGTAAGGGACCTTTGGTTTTCTCGACCACGGCGGCAAAAGTGCAAGCTTATATTGAACCAGTTCACTCGAAGTAAACTTAATGGCGATTCATCTCCAAACACTTTGGTTTCGTAGCACTTTTTGATATCTTCGGCCGAAATAGACGGGTGATGACAAACTTTACCCTGTCCCTGTGCTTTTATCAGTTTTAGCTTCGCATTGAGTGACTTGTTTGCAGCTTTGAACTTGTGGTCTCGGATGATTGAAATGCTGTTAAACTCTGGCAATGCAGAAAGATGTCTATCTAGTGCAGCACAATGGACAAATGCGCCGAACGACTGTAATGCTGTGTCGGTGTTTTCTTCAGCTCTTGATAAAACTTTATAAGCCTTTCGCAGAGGATGTCAGAGGATAAACTTTCCAATGTTTCTTCTGGGAATTTTTTTGACAACCAATCTGTTAAATGCATAAAAAGTTTGTAACTTGCATGAAAGCCAAGGGTTAAATATATTTCGATTTTGGTTCTCTTTTGATCACCTTTAACCGTGTAAACTACACAAAAAACAACAACAACTCACCTTTAAATAGCGAAACACCCCATACCGTTGCTCTTTTTGTGTTTGTTGGCGTTGCCTCCGAAATTATCGCTTCTATTTCCTCAGAGGACAATTCCAAAAACTTTTCACACTCAGCAGCCATCTTGCAGTGCGATAAAAAGTTCATGCACGGCTATAATGCACGGCCGTGCATTGTTGTTATGTAAAAGTAAGTCACGTGGTACAAATCGACCAATCAGAACACTAGTTTACGAAAACTGAATAATAATTTCTTTTATAGAATTTTGGTAACTTGCTTCCTTTGCAAGATATTCAACTTTGTTTCATGTGCAAATATCACCGGTGTGACATCACATCGCATAATGAGTTTTCAGAAAAGTATAGTTTTCTTGACGAATACGTATCTAAAAAACTTTAAAATTGCCCTAGTATATGTATCAATTTCATAACTGGTAATTAACCCTCTGTATTTGTTTGTAAAAATATTTTATCATGGTATAATATTGCGTTTTCAAAATGTCATTATGCGATGTGATGTCACACCGGTGATATTTGCATATGAAACAAAGTTGAATATCTTGCAAAGGAAGCAAGTTACCAAAATTCTATAAAAGAAATTATTAAGTCATTTTAAGTGATCTTTACAATGCAATCATAAACATTTGGGGTGAAATTTCGTGTCATAGGCACGTTAAGGCGCTGTTACACTATGCAATTTGTCTCCAACTTGTCTTGCAATTTTGTTGCGACACAAATTGCACGCGAAATTGCAAGGTGTATCATGCCTCGCAATCAACAAGTCTCGCAATATTTTTGTTGCAACAACCTTGCACGAACTAGAATCAGGTTGTACTATTTGCAACGATTGCGGCAACGCTGCAATGCATTTTTAGGGCATTGCACAGTGTAACATTCCTCTTGCAACTAGTCCCGCAATGCTTATGCACTTAATGGCTCCCTATTGGCCTTTGACTGACAATATGGCGACAAACGTTAATAGCACTCGCGGGGGTTTTTTTTTAATAATGATCATTGCAAGTTGCATGGAATATATTGCTTGGTGTAACATCCCTTGCAATGCAATCCTGAATTTTTTTTGTCAACATTGCGAGACAAGTTCCGAGACAAGTTGCTTAGTGTAACAGCGCCTTTAAGCAACTTTTCTCGGAACTTAACGCAATGTTAACAAAAACGATTTCAGCATTGCATTGCAGGGGATGTTACACCGAGCAATGTTCCATGCAACTTGCAATGATCATTATTAAAAATAGTATAAAAAGCGCAAGTGCTAACGTTTGGCGCCAGATTGTCAGTCAAAATCCAATAGGAAGCCATTCACGCAGTGTATAAACATTGTGAGAGTAGTTGCAAGAGGGATGTTACAATGCAATGGTTGTTGCAACACGAATATTGCGAGACTTGTTGATTGCGTAGACTCGCTCCAAAAGTCTCTCTTTCATTGTCATATAGTATCGATCCACTATAGTGCACATTACATGGCGTAGCACGGAGAGGCGGAGTGAGAAGAGAGACTTGTCAACTTCGGAAAATCTCGGTTCAAAACTGAACCGAAAATGCAAGACTTGCTTTAATTGCTTTCCTTCAATTTCTTTCTGTATTATTTACTATTATGGAACTCATGTTATTTACACTGCGCTAGATAAATACATATAAACACTGAGAGAAAACAATTGAAGCAAGTCTTGCATTTTCGGTTCAGTTTTGAACCGATACTTTCCGAAGTTGACAAGTCTCTTTCTCGCTCCGCCCCTCCGTACTACGTGATGTAATGTTCGTTATAATGGATCGATACTATATGACAATGAAAGAGAGACTTGGAGTAACTCTATTGATTGCGAGGCATGATACGCCTTGCTGTCCTTGCAATTTCGCGTGCAACTTGTGTCGCAACAAAACTGCGAGACGTATGGCATGGTGCAATAGCGCCTTAGAACAACGTTCCAAGCAAGGAAAAATTGTCAAAAGTATGTCATATTTACCTCCATGGGGAGTTCTAAAGCTCTTAGTGGTTGTGACGCGGTTCTTTGCATCGTTAGAATGATCATCCGTTATAAATTGAAGAGCATAGTTTGAATACGGAACAAGGTCCGGAAATGAGGTTTCATCGTCTGCATACAATTTGGTTGAGTCAGAAGCAACATATTTAAACTTGGGGATATTTTTCTATACAAAAAAGAAACAGTAGGCTGGTTACCATTACTCCCGGGCCCCACCCCTTGGAGCAATATGGTCCGAAAGGTCATCCCCATGGGGATTTATTTTCCACTGGTTCTGGATCGGCACGAAGCTCTAGGAAGATGTTCTATGATTGGTTGCATGATTATGACAATAACAAAAGAATAAGATATAGAATGGATTTTCTAAAGAACGAAGCAAGAACAATATTCCTTTTGTTTATGTAAGCCAATTACGTCTTTTGTCATTGTCATAATCAACCATGCAGTCACAGAACATCTTCCTAGAGCTTCGTGTTTACTGCTGGTTCTCGACTGGGGGCTTATTACAATGGGGTTCTAAATTGAGACTGGATTTGAAACCTATGTACTAACCTACTGGGAAGAATACCTTTTTGAATCCAATCAGGCAATTCTGATATAGGATCAATAATGATATAGGATTTCAGTCAAAATCTATGGAAATCGGGTCCTATTTAACTTGAAAGATATAGCTTCCCACATCTCTAATTCTAATGAGTTTTAGAACGTTTTACAGTGATGGACCTGTTCCCTAATGAAGAAAATTTTGATCTAGACAAGTGTAGACAAAAATTTCATCACAGCTTGAAAGAGCATCACAAAATTAGTAATATTCCGAAATTTCGTTGCGAAATGTTGTAAAATGCGGATAATATAGCCCTGCGAAGTTTGCCGTTTTTCAGTCATTTTGTATTACGCACGGGAAATTGATACCTCTTTCTGAAAAAGGTATCAATTTCCCGCGCGTAATACAAAGTGACTGAAAAACGGCAAACTTCGCAAGGTTATATTGTCCTCATTTTACAACATTTCGCAACGAATCTTCGGAATATCACGAATTTTGTGATGCTCTTTCAAACTGTGATGAAATTTTTGTCTAGACTTATCTAAATAAAATTTTTTGTTCATTAAACACCAGATAATGAGACTTGTGGCAACCATTTTGGTGCAACCTCATTAGTTATTCACGGGTAATAGCCTACATTTTAGGGGAAAGAGAGGCCACGGTTGATATATTTTTATTCAGACAATCCAGAAGCCATGGTTATATAGCATTCTTTTGAAGCCAGTCAAACCAGTTAACTGTCAAACATTATATTAGGTCGCAAATTATTCCAATCTGTTGCCGCATGAAAGCAAACTGTTGTTTGAAAAACCACTTTAATTAAAAATGGCTTGCGCACAAAAATGGAAGGCGTGGAACGCAATTTGAATTCATAGAGTGAAAAATTTAGGTGTTTTATGAACTATCAAAGTACCAGAAAATTTAATGTACATTACGTCCAACACGGGACCTCTAAAACTTGGACATTTTTGCCATAGTAGCCATTCACGCATAATTTTTTTTTAACTTTTTGTAAAGAATATGTAAGATATCAATCATGCATAAAATCAGTCATGCGTGTGTTCAATTATGCGTGAAAAACTACTGAAGTACTATAGTAAAAAAGTCCAAGTTTTAAAGGTCGCACGTTGGACCATGGTCTATCGAAGGGAAGATAGAAAGCGAAACTCATTAGAATAACAATTATGTAACTCATTATCTATGTTAGTCAACGTTTATTCATAAATCTGGTCCTTCACCGTCACGTGTGTATTGTATTTTTTCCAAATCCACCAATAGCAATTTCCAATTTCCCTATTGTTGGAGTTACGGATAGGTAACTATTTCTATTGGTTAGTTGGGCAAAAATACAATATGCACACGTGACGGTGAACGATAATGAGTTATATTGTTACTATAACGAGTTTCACAGGTGTCTTCCCTTCGATAGGCTATGGTTGGACTTAATGTACATCAAATTGTCTGGTACTTTGATAGTTCATAAAATACCATCTAAATTTGCACCGTATGACTTCAATTGCGTTTTTAAAGTGGTTTTTAAAACCAACCCTCCTGCACTGAAAATTCACTAAGATACTAGCAGACCTCAACTACCCATGCACGCATAAAGTTTTCACAAATGTTACGGAATTTGCAGTTTAGCGAACATTCTCAAACCAGGGTCTTAGGGCGCTTTCCATTAACACGCACAGACCGGTCAGAACAGTCAAATTGTTCAATGGAACAAAAAACATTTGGGCTTCGGACGTATCTGACTGGAAAATTTAGATAACATTTGAATGATGTCTATTTTAGCTAGATATTTGAGAAACGTAGACCACATCTTTCTATTGATGCAAAGAAAAACAATTTGGGTGTGACCGGTCAGGCCATTTAATGGAAAGCGCCCTGAGCTAGAGGGCCGTGTTGGCCGTGTTATCGCGGCCAAAAATGGAAAAACATGGCTAGATAAAATGAACGCTGCTTCAAAAATACATAAGGCCGCGGTGAACAACGTAGGTTCATAAAATAAGGTGTTACTGCTTAGAACAAACACAATTTCTTCCTATTTACGTCGTACGAAAGTTCGTAAAATCTACTGTAGTTGTTGAAATTAGCAAAACTGATCCGTGATGTTTTAATGTTTTGATGGATATGGTGTTACTGTAAAATGGTTTTAAATACACCCCCAAGAGTTGCTGAACTAAATTAATATTTTAATGTCGTATTAATGCCTTGTATTTGGTTCCGAAGCGCAGAAGAACCACAGGCATTGTCTGTTGTTGGCGAGCCATAACTATAACCGTGAATCTGAGTATTCAAGGTAATTATTGACTTGTGCACACTTTGGTAATTTAGAAACACGCCCAAGATATAAAATCCTAGCTAAGAAGACCCTGTCTCAAACTGTGTAGATTTTTCATAAACCTAGCCTGCGAACAGGCTCTCAAGGTGAAATGAGAGCCTGCATCGATGACTAATGAATTTGACTATCTGCGTCTCAAATCGTGACGCGAAATTCTCATTGGTCAGATGCTATAATTTATATGTTTCCGCTGGGCTCTATATATGTCAACTGCTGAAGCACTATCCATAAAAAACACATTAACTGATCAAATTGGTCTTGGCCATCTTATCTCAAAGCACGAAATGTTCTGTTTTGAGAAAACAGTACTTAAAACATTTAAACTTTTGCTTGAATATCTTATACTTCGAAAAACAGTATAAACTGTTCGGTCTAAAATTAGTTTCCACGGGCTAAATCTAGGGGCCGATTACATGGAGCTTTTTCAACCCCAGGGTTGAACTCATCCCTGTTTACCGGGTTGAAATTTCAGCCCTGTCTGTAATACAAAACTCTATCAAAATCAAACGCGCGATTACATGACAAAATTTTCAACCAGGGCTGAGTTCAACCTCGGGGTTGAAATTTCAACCCTGCTTCAACTAGCTTGAAATTTCAACCCCGGGGTTGAACTCAGCCCTGGGTTGAAAATTTTGTCATGTAATCGTTTCAACCCAGGGCTGAAATTATCATCAGTTATTCGAGCATGCGTGGTAGTGACTATTTATTACAAGAAAACAAAATAAAGGCTTTTTTACTTCCACGAATCGATGCCGAGAACGTACAGTATAACGTTTTAACCCCGGGGTTGAAATCGTCCATGTAATCGCAAAAAATTTCAACCCGGTTAACAGGGCTGACTTCAACCCCGGGGTTGAAAATGCTCCACGTAATCGGCCCCTTAGTTTGCACGAAAGTTGTCAACAACACCATATAAGGATAGACATTCCATATTTAGAAAAACGAACGTTACGGGGCAGATATTCAAAATTGTATATCATCAGTGCAGGCTCTCATTTCACCTTGAGAGCCTGTTCGCAGGCTATCATAAACCCTGCACAGTGGCTAAAAAACGGCGTTCCCGCAACCACATTACCTCTAATTTTGCCGTTCCTGACAACAAAACACGAAGGTGAACAGCAGGATCCCTTCGACACAATATACGTAAACGCCATCGAACTTTAGCTGTGATAAGATTTGGGTCGTTTGACTTTGAAAAACTAACGTTGATGAATTCTGGTTTATATGAAAAACCTACAAAAAAAAACACAATTATAAATCATTGAGACATTTCTGACCCTGACTCCTCTGCAGCCCCTAAATATGTAACAAATCAGTGATAGATCAGTGGCTAGGAAAATACTTTTGTGTTGCATCTTGGGAAGGCGAAAAATATAAAATTACTTTTCTTATTTTTCCTTTGCCTTCCCATTAATCTCCGCGCGCCCCAAAGCGACTGGGGACGAGTCAGCTTCTGACCAACGTTTGCACGTTACTTTTTTCGTTAGATTTTCACGTTAGACCAAAAAAAATATGTGGGTTTCCTATTTCTTCTTGTAAAAACTTAGGTAGGGTAGGTCGGTATTGACTTTTTTTTTAACTTTTCTTTAATTTTCCTAACAATCGGACGCCATTTTGTTTAGTCTGTGCTTCCACATCCAAAGGTAAATTTCCCTAATATTGCCTCAAATTTCCATTTTTCACAAACGTTTTCCTCTAAGTGGCAACACTTACAAGCATGATGCAATAAAAAAGTTTAGGGTCGGGATTTCGGCGTCCAAAAGCTAGGTAGGGTCGGGAAACCGGAAACCCACATTTTTTGGCCTTAAAATATAGTACTTGCTATTTTCTTTACACTATCAACTTCTATTATGTTAATGTGGTCAATAAACCGATTGACTGTACAATGACTCTGCTCCCATTTGCCGGCTTACAGTTTAGTTGTCCTATTTTTACAGTAATTTAAAGAGTAACAGAAGTGTGGAGGATTGGGGGGGGGGGGAGAGGTAAAGGAAAGAAGTCAGAGAAGTGAGAGAGGAATGGAGCTACCTTGCTGATTCAAAGTAGGTTTGAGCTTTGAGATAAGAAGACTTTCACGGACGAGAAGTTCAGGAGAGGAACAGGATGATAGGATCTTAAAATCATCAAGAGAAGCAGTAATTTGATATCGTAAATAGTAATTTACTCATATTTGTAACTCATTGTCATATACTATATTCATTTATAATAGTTTTGTTTGTGGAAACACCATGTACATTTATTACTGCAAAGCTTTCGATCCGTAAGCGCGGATCTTCATCAGTGCTAATAATATGTGTCTAGCACTGATGAAGATCCGGGTTACCGATCGAAAGCTTTGCAGTAATAAATTTACTGGTGTTTCCACAAACAAAACTATAATATGTTTTATCACCATGCAAACATACAAAGAACTTATGTTTGCGATGTTACTCTGAGTGCATATCCACACCGGGCGAGCTTGAAAAATATGCCCGGCCACGGTGGGATTCGAACCTACGACCTTTGGAATACTAG